ATCATTGCAGCACAGACACAATCAAATAGGCCAGCTCTTCACAGTATTCTTTACAAATTCTGTCATAAAGAAGGAGCAACTAAACATCAAATCTGACCTTGTTTTCAGTAATTTAGAGTACCCAGACATTATAAACCACTAAGGGCTACATTCGATATTTCTGGAAGTACTAAGTTATCAATATGTCAAATATTGACAACACCATTTTGTGAATGAATCATTAAGTGTCTACCTGATTTTTACGATATGCTGTAAAAGTCTAAGACGACGCTTCAGTAACTGTAACCGCAGGACAGACAGACAGACAGACAATTCCACAGGAAGTGAGAAGCCTTGACACCTAGAATAGCTCAGTGGTTGAACTTGAGTACTTCACAGGTTTCAGCCACTAGGAATTGTGAAGCTGTTAATTTTCAGGAATACGTATTTTTAACAGTAAGCATAAGTGAAGTCAGAGTTTGTTTTTTTAATTTTGGATGAGTTTTACAAAAAAGTTTTTATTCTTTGAACTTTATACTCCTTGCAAACACCCAACTCATGAATGAAAAACAACTCATTTGGGTCAAGACATGATCCTCCAAAGGTTGTTTTTACTGACTATTTACCTTTTAAAAGGAATAATTATAGAGGCGGATAAAAGGAATGGTAAAAGGAAATAAGTGAATAATTAATAATTGGATAATAACTTTAAAAGAATAATGATAGAGATAACATATCTTTAAAAATACCTGCCTCAAAAAAAAGTTACTCATAGTTTATTATTGAGAAGAAACCAGAACCATTCTGAGTCCTTCTATGAAAATTCTCTCATCTTCAACCAAGCACTTCTATAACAATTTTTCTTTGATAAGCCATTTTTTATATTTTTCATGTGTATTTAACATAAAAATTAGACAGATACAAAAACAAAACGGATAGTGGAAACAGAATGCTGTACTTATTTAAAAGCTTCATAGAGGCTTTCTCATCAAGTGGCTGGCACTCTGCAAAAGGTACACACATCACGGCTTGGCCTCCCTTTAGGAAACAGCAGCCACCATTTAATCTCCGGGTTTTCAGTTAGAATGGAAGTTTCAAAAACAAAATGGCTGCTGATCACAGTGTCCTACAAACGTCCACATCCGACTACCGAGGTAATTAAATTATCTCTTAGATTTCCCTATAGGATACGTTAATTAGCATAGAATCATTTCCTTAATTTGCTGTAGTCACCAAGGACAACGCCATTCTTACAGTTGTGTTTATTTTCTTGCTTGACGACAAATTGTATTTGCTGCTGCACTGCCACAGAGCACAAATATCTAATTGATTACCCATAATCAATCTGCTGCTGGCTATGGGCAAATGAAGAATTATTAAACCATTATAGAAACATTATTGGTTAATCAAGTTTGTACTCTCTATGACAGACACTCCTGCCCCCATTCTTCTTCCTCACAAGCAGAACCTGGTTTTGACCGGCTTATCTACTCTTCCCCTTTGAAACCTGAGTGACTTGGGCAAAGCTGACCCCACCTCTAGCTCACAGCATGAGATGATAGTAACCAAACATAAAGTAATAGAAACCAAAGAAAGTACTACTATCCTTTTGGCCAGAGATTGGTTGAGTTAATCAAGACTTGCTGGGCTTTTCAGCTAAATTGGCCTATCAGTCCAGGGGAAATTTTACTGTATGGTGATGGGAGAGGTCCCCTCTGTGTCTCTTTCTCTGGTCCTCTGTCTTTCTATCTCACGCAAGGTATGAACAAGGAGGCACATCGTCCCATTGCTGCTGGCGCTCCTCATGGGAAGGAAGCCAGTCCGAGGACAGAGCTAACCCATCAGAAAGGGTATGACCCTCCCTGCCTGAGCCCTCCCTACCTTCTCATATCTTGTCACAAGGGATGAAACACTTCTTGATGGGTAAAGCCAGTTTTGTTTCGGGTTTCTGCGGCTTACGGCAGGAAACATCCTAACTCTTTAATATAGCCTATAACGAGGAATCCAGATACCTCATACAGATCAATTAATCTTTTTAAGTTTAGCTTTCTTAAGTTCTTACAGGGTTGTCATCCATCCACGTTAAGCCTGTTCAGGCTCCCCAAACAACTTCATCTTAGATATTCTTAGATATTCAGCTCTGAGATCAAAGTTGAGGAGTCTGGAAGTCAGCAGAGGCAACATTACCAGTCTTTAGAAGTTATAAACACTACAATTTGAATCCACCGGGGAGGTGCAGCCTATACTTTCATCTTCCTTTCCCCACTCAACATTCAATGAGTCTTTTATTCTATTTCTTTGATGTTTCTTCTAGCTTTATCATCATCTCTGGCCTCAAAAACCCTTGATTCCTCTACCCGCTCAAGCCACTGGTCCATTTCTCTGTTCCTAGTCACAGCAAAATTTCTCAAAACAGTTGACTGAAATTCCTGCCTCCCTTTCCATATCTCCAATTCTCTCATCCACCCTTTCTGACAGATTTGCAATTTCACTGCCCCACTGAAAAGACTTTCTCAAGTCTGTCAATGGCTTCCATTTTGTCAAATCCAATGTCCACTTTTGTATCCTAATCATACTCAACCTTTTCTCTTCTGGAAATAGTTTATTCTCTAGGCTTCTCTGATACCACACACTTCTATATTTCCTCCTGACTCGTTGCCTGTTCATTCATAATCTCCTGTTCTGGCTCCTACTCTACTCAACCTCAAAATGATGGAATATCCCCACAGCTCAAACATGGGCCCTCTTCTCTCCTCCATCTAAACTCTCTCCTGATGTGATCTTTTCCAGTCTCATAGCTTTAACTATCATCTACCTGCTGATAATTTCCAGTTTCATATCTCCAGCCCATTCTCTCCTCTAACCTCAAGGCTTATATACCTAAATGCCCACCTGATATGCTGAACTGAATGCTTCAAGGCACCTATAATTTAAAATGACTAAAAGAACCTATGGTTTCCTCCTGCAGACCTGCTCCTCCCACTGTCTTCCCTGCCCCAGAAAATGGCAGCACCATCTACCCATTAGTTTGTCAAAGATTAGGGATCATCCTTGACCTACCTCTCACCCTTACAACCTACATCTTGCTGGCACTCCCATCCAAATATATCTGGAATTCAGTTCCTTGTCACCATTTCCCACTTCACCCTTGTCCACGCCAGTGTCATCTCCCAACCGAACCACTTTATCCAGCTCTCTCCCTGTTTTCCCTGCTTCTTTCCACCTGTCAATTCTCTCTCCATACAGAAGCCAGAGTGATCTTTTAAAAGTATAAATCAGATCATTTTATTCTTCTGCTTAAAACCCACCAGTGGCTTTTCAGACCACCTGGAAAAATATTCAGGTTCCTTGTTGTGGCCCTGAAGGCTCTGTACGAGCTGGCTTCTGCCTATGTTTTGGCATCTTCTTCTTCTACTGTCCTCCTCTCACTACATTCTAGATACTCTGGTGTTTTCTTCTGTCCCTGGAACACAGTAGCATCACTCCCACCTTTGCATTTGCTGTTCTTTCTTCTCAGCATGCTCTTTTTGCACACCATCTTTGCACACCTAGATCACTGGTCTCACTTTAAATGATACCTTCTCCTAGGGACCTTTCCTGGCCGTTTGATCTAAAGCGGCCTTCCACTTGCCCTCAGTTGCCCCGCTCAGTCACATCACCCACTTGATTTTCATCACAGCGCTTATCTCTATCTGAAATACCCTTGTCTGGTTGTTTAATTGTGCATGGTCTGTCTTCCCCTCTCTAACTATAAGGATCATGAGAGATCTTGGTTCATTCGGTAGCTGGAACCATCCCTGGCTTCTAGTATGCACTCATTAAACAGTAAAGAATGCAATTATAATTCATACCTTTACCATTTTTCCACCTTGATATATCTGCTAGCTGCCTCTCTGGTATCCCTGATACATCCCCAATACCACATTGCATCAAGAGTGGTGTTTCTGTCTAAGGTCATCCACGAACTTTCTCCTGTGTACTGTCCAGCTTCCTGTTCCTCCACATCCTCACATTTGTCCTCTGCTGCAGCCACAAAGAACCACTTTCCACTCACAGACTGTGCCTCTCACTTCCTGCCTCCCTGCCACACAGCATTCCTCTTCTCCACTCTACTCACGCTGCAGGATCATGGTCCCACATTTCCTCCTCGCTGGTTGGAGTCAGTCACTTCGCTATTTCTAGTACATAATTCCGTATTGGCTTTGTCAGACTAGAGTGCAATTATTTGCTTATAGTCTTGTCTCTTCTACTAGTTTTGAGCTCATTAATGACCTGAAGTTTCTTACTCTTGTTTAGTCAGCAACTGGTACTGTGTAGGCACTCAACAAATGCTTGCTGAACTGAACTGAATCAAACTGACCCCGTGCCATATCAAAAATACGTATATACCACCCCCCACGCAAAGAGACAAAAGGAGTTTAGTTAAAATGATATCTGGTCCATATCATAAAAATAATATGAAAAATAATACCAGCAATATTTATTGAGTGCTCACTATAACATGAATTTTATGTGCATTATCTCTCTTAAGAGTGATATTAGGAAACAGAGGCCTAGAAAGGTTAGTAACTTGCCCCAAATCACAAAATTAGTGAGTCAATATTTGGAACTCAATTTTTTTTAAAGATTCAAGGCCTACCACATCTCCTCTTGAAGTTATTTGTATGGAGAGTACTGATCACCACTTGGTGGACATGCTCAACGGGACCTGCGCCACTGGGAAAAAACATGCAATTTAGGAACCCCAACTCCCACCCACGCTGTGGTCTGCAGAGGAAGGAGAAGGCTGCAGAGACAAGCACTACTGGGGAAGCCACGCCAGGATGAGCCACCGCAGGACCGACCACGGCCTAGTCTCAGATCTTGGTTCTCACACATTTTTGTTCTTCTACCTGACCTGGTGTGAGTAGATTTTCTGGTTCTCTCCACCAAAAGAACCTTGACCAGAAGGCATCATTAGCCCTGACAGGTCAAGTTCCTTCAGAAACCAACTTGAAATTGATGCGAAAGACGTTACCTACCTTGGGCATGCAAATCACCAAATGCCCTGTGGTCTGGGATCTTTTAGCAGAGCTGCTATCAGGTTTGACTTCTGCAGGAAGGACAAGCTGAAATGGCTGAAAACAACCAGGGATGCACGGAGGGTGAGTGCGTATCACACGAGAGGGCTACCTTACACAGTACTTTTGTGACAAATTTAAGATCTACCATTCAATTTTTAAAAAATGTGCTTACACTCATCAGGAAAAAAAATAATATATTATAATAATATAATAAAAAATAATATATGCCTGAACTATTTTACCTATTTTAATGAATAGTCTAAAGAACGGTCATCAATCACCAACAATGAAACACTCATGGGTCCATTTATGTTAACATGGCTGATAAAGGATTTATAGATAAAACATCAACTTACTTCCATTTTAAAGTCTTCAAGTTATCGCATAGGAATGCTTAGAATTAGCAAAAAGCACTATTTCAAAAATAAAATTATAGTTGGTATGAACGAAATATTGACAATTTATGATGAACCTATTATTTAAATATAATTAAAGCATAGGCTACCATAAATATGATCACCTTATCAGCTTTGGGAAAAGTACTAACACAATAGATGAGGGTTAAAAATATTCATTTTATCAAAGCATACAATGGTCTGCAACCATTCCCGCTGAGTACCACTCCCACGGTATAAAATCACGTGCCTAAAAAATAACTCTCCGATTGGGTTCCTCTTTTTCTGTTTTAGTATTACTTTAAAAAGTTCGGCAGCCACCTGGCTTGGCCCAGGGCTTGGCTTTAAACTGTAGCAGTCCCACAGGGCGATGCTCACCTTCCCCTTGACGAGCACTCGCACGTACGTTGGCCGCACATCAACGTCGATCAAAGACGTATCCAGATACCTTCGAAATTAAACACACCAAATCTTAGCGCGTTCCAAAACATCAGGTTTAAAGAAATGCAAATACACAGTCACACTTACGGGACCATTTTAAATGAGGAAAGTTGACAATTTTCATGCTAAACAGGTCTTAAAAAAATTTGTCTTAAATTGATCCCCGGACCAAAGGAAATTCAATATATCAGCAATTTCATTTTTAGACCCATAAGCGCACTTAACATTGATTGCCCCTAACCCAAAAATATCTGCAGCCTGAAACACCAGAGGTTTGCAAAAATCAGTTTGTCACGTTCTTTCCTGAATATTTTATTTTAAGCCCCTAAGACTGCCTTGAACATCCAGGAAGGCTGAATGCGGGGGGCCTGCAAGCACCAGCCCCTGCTTCCTTAGCTGCTCTCCAGCCCCTGCAGCAGTTCCACAGCTGCCCTGACCCCGTCTCTCCTGAAGGACCATTCGCCTCTCTCCTTGGAGGCACATTCTGCTGAACAAGCGAAGCCCCCATCTATGCCCGTGACCCCGGGATCAGGCGGCAATGATTCTCCTCCACTTCGCAAGCAAACGGAAGATTCAGACTTCACATCCCTTGTTACAATAAGAAGTTTAGCCAAATAATTATGTTTATACGTGTTGAATATTGATTGTGAACATGCAAAAATGCAGCGATGTTTCCAAAATCATGAACATTAAGGCAGATGGGATAACGCTGGGGTTACAGGCACGGGTGTCAGCCACACAGCCTTGTGAGGAGTGATTCCACCCCCGCCTGCTTTATCATCTGGGACCACGTCTCTTAACCTCGCTAAGCCTCAGTTTCCTCATCTGTACAATGAGGGTACAAACAGTGCCTATCCCCTAAGATGGCTGTGAAGACACGTGCCTAGTGCCTAGTACGAGTTAGTGTTAATAAAGCATTGTTATATTTTATTTAATAAAAATTTTTATAATAATAATAAGTAGAGTTAAGAGGCCGGCCCCGTGGCGTAGCGGTTAAGTTCGCGCACTCCGTTTCAGTGGCACGGGGTTCGCTGGTTCAGATCCTGGTGGCAGACCTAGCACCGCTCATCAAGCCATGCTGTGATGATGAGGAGATGCTGTGGCAGCTCACAGAGTGTAACCAGGAGGACTTACAACTATGATATACAGCTATGTACTGGGGCTTTGGGGAGAAAGGAAAAAAGAGGAAGACTGGCAACAGATGTTAGCTCAGGGCCAATCTTCAAAAAAAAAAACCCAAAAAGTAGAGTGAAGGTTTCCTACAACTTCATGTTTAATATCTACCATGTTCGTGGATTACATATCCTTTTCCACGCTGAGGGCCTCCTAAAGTTCATCCGCCCCTACCTACAGGGTCTTTGCATGTGCTGCTTTTCTCTGCCTAAAACAATCCCTTGCCAGCTCTCACTACTTCTCATCCTTCAGTTTCAGCACCCGTGTTGCGGCCCTTCCCTAACCACCCCTTATACCACCAGCCACCAGCCTCCACACACCGTTGTTCTCTACCCCGATCTCTGTTCCTCTCCTGCACAACACTCTTGCCCCTTTGTAACTAATTATTCATTAGATGCCTGCCTGCTTATTGTCTGCCTCCCCTACTGGGCCGTAAGCTACAGGACAGCAGTGACTGCATTCAGAACACGCCGGTTAGTCTCCAGGGCCCAGCACATAGTAGGGATTCTATAGATATCTGCGGAATAAAGGCAGGCAGCATACATGAACAAATGAACCTAACTTTCATATACATATCCATGTGCCAATGAAGATAACAAGAAATTTTAATGTAATAGTTCAGACAATCATGGGAATAGAAGTGTTTTACTCCCTAGGCAGCAGAAATATCACCACTCCTTGAAAATGTACAAGCGTGGGGGGATGAGGAAAGCTTTCACTTGAGGACGGAATGTGAAGGAGCCAACAGAGCTAAACAAGAGAAAGGGGTGCACATTGATTAAACTCTAGAAATAAGGTCTAACCACGGAAAGGACTTAAAAGGATGAAACAGAGAAAGTTTAACTGAAAACCAATGGAAAGGGCAGCTTGGGGACCTGGAGGAACAGAGGGCATGAAGTCAGCCGGAGAAGAGCTGGAAGCTACTTACAGGTAGGTGGCCTGGCAGTCCGCGGGCAGAAGAATTGAGAGGAAGCATGAGAGAGCAGCCCAGGGGACGAGAAGGGACCGCACGAAGAGCCGGCCCCTATTCACAACAGCCAAGGGGGAAACAACCCAAATGCCCATCAGCCAGTGAATGGACAAACAAAAACGGAGTCTAGCCACAAATGGAATATTATTTGGCCATGAAAAGAAAGGAAATTCTGCTGCATGCTTCAACATCAAGGAACCCTGAAGACACCATCCTAAGTGAAAGAAGCCAGACAAAAAGGCCACATACAATCCCGTTTCCAGAAAATATCCAGAAGAGTCAAACCTACGGACAGAAAGCAGATCAGCATTTGCCCCAGGAAGGCGGAAATGAGGGGTGACTATTTAACGGGTCTGAGCTTTCCTTTGGGGGTGACGAAAATTCCCGGGGAGTAGATGGTGGTAATAGTTGCACAACACTCTGAATTTACTAAGTGTCCCTGAGTTGTACACATGAAATGGTTGAAATGGTGAATTTTAAGTTATGTGTATTTTACCGCAATTAAAAAAACGAAGTTGGACCTAGGCCTGAGGGTTCAACTGGCGTCACTGATTACTGTGTTTACCATGACAAGACTCACGCCCCTCGGGTAACTCCAGGATAACACTCCTCCTACTTCACCGAGTCATTGAGAGATTAAATAAGACAGAGCATGGGGAAAAAAGCCCTTAAAAAGAGGAAGGCTTTTCATTATAATCCGTGCATGTAAATGTCCGTTGACTCCCATCAGCAGTATGCATTCATTCATTCATTCATTCATTCATTCATTCCTGTACTAACTGAGCTCCTCCCAGGGGCCAGGCACCGTTTTAGGTGCTGGAGATTTAAGGAGAAAGGAACAAACAAAATAAAGAGCCTGCCTCAACTACAAAGTTTAAAAAATGCAAGCAAATTTATAGTTTGCCAGGTAGAAATCAGAGAGCAGAGCGAGGTGGGAGGAAGCACTGCGCAGCAGTAGGTACTGTTACCTGGGGGGCGGGGGCAGGGAGGGGCAGAGAGGCCTCTATCATCCAGGACATCTGAACAGAGGCCTGAAGGACATGAGGCAACAGGCCCCACGGACACCGAGAGTGAGGGTGGTACAGGCAGAGGGAAGCACACGTGCAAAAGTCCTGAGGCATCAGTGGGTCTGAAAGGGGTGGAGAAGCAGAAAGATCCTGCAAGTGGATACTGAAATCATCACAAGTTGAAGGACTGTGAGCCAGAACGTAAAATCTTCAAGGAATGAGGCAGACTGGCCTGGCGTCGCTGAGTGACTTCAGCCAGGAAGGGTAGAAGGTGACAGAGGCAGATGGTGTGAGTCACAGCCGTGGAGATTCAGGGAGGAGAGAGCAACAGTTAGGGTGTGGTGATGAGGGGCAGGCAGGACACCCCTGTCACTCCCGCCCATGGGAATGAAGTGTGGAGGAGAAACCGTCATGATGCGGGATGCACCATGGGAAGAAGTGTCTGCTGGCAATAAAGAGGCTGCTGTTCACGCTTTAGAACTGAAGAGATTGCAGTTGAGAAGGAAAAGAGAAAGAAATGCCATTAAATATATCCATAATAAAACATGCTCACCTGTACACGGCTAGGTCCAGGACGATCTGCTTACGCTTTTCATCATCTTTCAAAGAGAAGTCAAGTCTAAGGAATAATCCATTTGGGGAAAAAACGATGATGTCTTTAGCAATACTGTACAGATAAACTATCCCACTATCAAAAATAAATTTGATAATACTTATATAATAATCTCCAATGACAAACCTATTTTGGTAGCTGGACAATAAATGTCTATGTTAATTTAAAAATTTCATTAGAAACCTACACTATATTCATAAATTATCGCTGTTTACATTGTTTAAAAGTGATGATCTTAGGGTAAATTACACACAGAAAATCTGCATTGGTGCAGAGACAGAGACATCTGGTAGTTAAAATTTTCTTTTCCATTTTGTTCGAGTCTGCTAGAAGCAAACCAAAACACTGGAATTATTTACGAAGAAGTAAAGGTTGTGTTTGCCTCCCCTTATCCAGCATTCTATTCCTTAAGTTTTAAACAGTCCTGTCTTCCTTCTCTTTCCTTGATATCTTTTTTCTTTTCCTTTCATTGTTGACCTTTCCATCGACCTGCAAGATGCTGAGACACTGCCCATTCATTATCTATCACCTCCATTTTGTAGATGAAAAAATGGAGGCTCAGAGAGGTTGACACAGTGGGGAATGAGGCCATATGTGTGGAGAGGCAGAATTCCAAAGCCCTAGTCTTTTAGCTATACCCTGAGGAGGAGTCCTAGGCATAACTTCCAGAATGTCACCATACTATTCAGAATGGCTTGGTCAATTTTATTTTGAGCACTTCACTTATAACCCAACAAGATTAAAGAATGCAGGCTAAATTGTCTGGAAAAATGTAAAATTAGCCATAGAACTGGCTGTCAGCAGTAGGTCTGCTTGCGGCAGGCATTCTCATTGCTTTCCACGATCCAGCCATGCGGGACTTCTCCAGTTGCTCAAATTACCCCCGCATTCTTGATCTCATCTCAGGAGCTTTAAATGTGCTATCCCCACTGCCTTGATTGCTTATTCCCCAGTTTTCCAGCCATTCAACTTAACTCTCCCTTCATATATTAATTGAAAGGTTTTTTATGGCAGAGATTGCTGGTTATTCCCCACCATCTGCTCCCCCTGCATCATAGTAATAGGACGCCTGATTTTAACTGGCACATGGTGATGCAGAATAAAGACTACATTTCCTAGCCTCCCTTGCAGCCAGATAAAGTCATGTGATTTAGTTCTGTGAAGGACAGTGTTGCATGGTGTGTTCCAGGAATTTTCCATAAGAGAAAGAGTGTGTGCACTTCCTCCCTTCCTTCTCCTTTATTCTTCTGGGTAGAAGAGATTATAGGAGGCAGAGGCATGAACCATAGAGACTACTCAACAAGCTACTGCAATTGTCCAGGCAAGAGGGAGCTGACTTGCTCTAAGGTGGTGGAGACGGAGTTAATGAGAAATGGCTGGATTCTGGTGATACTGAAGGAAGAGCTCATAGGGCTCACTCATAACACGAGAGAGAAAAGAACCAAGGATGAAGCCACAGTTTTTGGTCTTAATAAGTGGGTGGATGCTCACTACTGAGACAGAAGACACCAGGGGACAAGCACGTTATGGTGGACGGTGGTGGTGGGGACAGAAATTAGGACTTCTGTTTCAGTCATGAGAAGTTTCTGATACCTATTTTATATCCACACAGTGACGTCAAACAGCTAACTGAATATACGAGTCTTCAGCTCAGGGAAGAGGCTGGGTCTGGTTGTGAGTAACATAAAGATGGTGTTTAAAGCCCCGGGATTTGGTGAGATTCCCACAGAGCGAATGTGAAAGGAGAAGACAGCTGAGGAGTTGGCCCCAGAGCAATCAGGAGACAAGACAACAAGGACCCGGCAAAGCATAAGAAGATGTGCAGGTAGGACGGCTGAAGAGTCAGAAGCAGAGGGAAGAAATTTCTTCAAGGAGGAAGGTAATGATCAATGTGGTCAAGTTTGCAAGATCAGGTAGATGGGGACTGATATATGAAATGATGTGGCTGAATACAGAAATGCTGTGAACACAGAAGAGAAAAATGAGGTGACTAAAGACGTTTCAGGGCCAGCCGCGGTGGCCTAGTGCTTCAGTTTGGTGTGCTCCACTTTGGCAGCCCGGGTTTGGTTCCTGGGCGTGGACTTACACCATTTGTCTGTCACTGGCCATGCTGTGGTGGCAGCTCACATACAAAAAGAGGAAGATTAGCAACAGATGTTAGCTCAGGGCAAATCTTCCTCAGCAAAAAAAAAAAAGAAGAAGAAGAAGAAGAAGAAGAAATTTCAGGATGATGGAATATGCAGAATGATTTCAAGAAGGAATGCGAAGTGAGGAATTGGTGACTGAGGACAGACGCCTCCATTGAGGACTTTGACTATTAAGTGGGGGCAGAGAAACAGGGCTGTAGCTAGACAGGAAACTGGGAAAAGGGATGTTTCTTGGTCTTATTTTCTTTTAAGATGGAAGAGATTACAATACATTTGTATACTGATGTGATTGATCTGGTAGAGCAGACAGAACGGACACAGCAGAGAAGGGATAATTGCAGAAGGCAAGTCCTGTAGCAGGAGGGGTGGGATCAGTACACCAGCAGAGAGAGTGACTCCAGATAGAAAGCTCACCCACAGCAGGAGAGAAGCAAGTATGTGCTACAGGTCCAGGTACATTGGTAAATTAGTGTTGGTGGGTGAGAAAATTTCTTATGTTTTCTCAGTGGAATAAGAAACAAGGTTCTGAGCTAAGGCTACAGAAGTGTAAGGTGTTGCTGAGGTAAAGACTGAGGAAATGGTGTGAAGGTAGCCTAGAGGCGAGGGGGAGAATAAACTGCCCAGGAAGATACAGTAACGTTGCCAGAAATGCACCTCAGATCTGTGGTCACAAATTTACAGTAGGACTAGCAAGGAGAGTTGAATGTTTTCCTCTGGCCGAGTATGAGGGCAAGCTCAGGAGTGGAGGCACGTTTATTCAAACAGGGTTGGGGTTTTGTGAAGTGAGGATGATGGAAGGAAAGAAGGACAAGAGAGTGGAAGGTATACGCCAAGGCATGTTTTCTGTGATGAACTATAAAACCAAAGCAGGGTGATGGAAGGTGAGAACAAGACAGGTGGGGGCAGTAAGAGAAACAGTGGACTGAACTGATCCATGGTCTTAGTGGGGCCTGTGACTGCTGGGGTGGAGGGAGTTCCCCAGGAACACAGGAGATAGCGCTCATGAGACACCTGCAGGGAAGATTCTGGAGGTGGAAGAGATACTGACGATGGCAAATCTAAGAATGAAAGTGGATTGGGAGAGGGGCTGGAGGTGGAGGAGAAGATGGCTGGAGGTGAGGGGGTCCAGGGATGGAGAGGCCAGGGCTTTGCTGTATCATCTATACGTAAGATGAGGTGACAAGCCTGATGATGGCAGGAGAGGCAGAGAGAAAGACACTGGTCTGGGAGCTAAGATCTTCAAGGACTTGAGAGGGGCGGTCGATCAGGAGGTAGGTAGGTGACCTGACCGTAATAAGGAGTGGAGGTGGCATATCTAGATGGCCTGGGCTTCAGAGAGCTGGGGATTCTCAGGGAAGGAGAAATGGTCTGAAAGCAGCTACGAGGTGGAAATTCCTCGTGGTGTAGGTGGTGGGGAAGAGTCAAGAAGGCAGCAGGAGAAGCAGAATCCTTAGCAGTTTCCATCAGCGAAGGAAGCTAGAAGGGGCACTGAGAGAAAAGGTGAGGCTATGGGTTTTGTTGACAAAGCACAAGCTCCAGCGGGCACATGGAAGGGACAGGGCTCAGGGAGCGGGGAGAGAATGAGCTGGATTAGGAGGGGTACAGAGCCACACGAGGATAAAATTCTGGAGGATGACAGATGACCTCCTTGATAGAAGTAGGCGGTAGGAGGAGAGGGTGGTGGGTGATCAGCTCTTAAGAGAATCCCCCTAAACAGAATTGGTTTGGGGTCAGGTAAGTGGTCAGTGTGGCGAGAGGAGTGATGGTCCTACCAGAGGACACGTGCAGCCCTGTTGTAGGCTGAAGAAGGACGGTCTGCCCACTAGATTGCTAAGCTCCATGAAGGCAGAAGCCTGGGACAGTCACTGCTGTGCCCGCAGCACCCGGCCTCAGGTCTTGGGCTGCAATCCTGCCTGCTGGATGAAGAAGCTGTGAGTGTATAGGAGGGGAGAGATTATAAACCTGATCATGGAAATGCCTAGAACTGGGCTGGCACGGGCAAGTCGGACACACCACCTATGAACTAGATGAACCTGGGCGAGTCGCTTCACCTCTTTGAAGCTCAGGTTTTGGACCTGTAAAAAGAAACGTTGCCTATCACACGAGACTGCTGTGAAGATGAAGTAAATGATGCCCAGGAATGACTCAGGACAGTTCCTTTACCATGGTAATGGCAGAGCGAGGGAGGTGACGAAAGTAAACAGGTTTTGAGTAATGAAATGAAGTGAACAAGATTTAGTCCACAGCCTTTTTGGTCTGTATTTTGGCTGCAAAAGGCTTTCTTTTGCCTGCTTTCTATTTTCAAATTTTAAAGACAGCCAGATAGGGTAGATCAGGTATTACTATACTTGAGGATTTCCAGTTTGGATATTTTTCCTCTCTTTAACTTCATGGAGGTATTTATGTGAATTTCTTTCCTTAGCTTCTGCCTGCTTTGTAGATCTCTCCAGAGCATAAGGTAGATGGATAGGGCACATATCAGCATTCTCAGCCGGCTTGTTCACGGCAGAGCTTCAAATATTAATAAACACAACAATCATGCACTGGCAATTTTCAGGCATAAGATTGTATATAGTCCAACCAAAGTCTCAGGGGATACATAAATAAGTGAGATTTCCATATGTCAAGATCATTTTCTGGATGCCAAGAAAATGAAACATAATGTTATGTACTTGAAAATATAATAGATGCTTTGCTTTCAAATATGCACAAAATGACATTCTTATTAGACTCATCGAGCTTGTTAAGTGCAGTCAGATACCTTCCCCACAGAGCAAACCATAATTATAACGACCAATAGCACAAAATGTGCTTCTTCAAGCCTCTATCTGACCTCACATACTTGGGCTCATTTACATTCAGGGCTTTCCCGTCTTCAGTTATCAAGGTCCTGGCTGGTTTCACTTTCTTCTTTTTGTCACTTAAGATTGGGGGTGGGTGGGAACAGGGGCAACGGGAAGAGGGAAAAATAAAGAGAACAGAAAAGTAATTAATATTTTGGTGAAACAGTTTAAGAAAAATTAATCAGATATTTGTGAATACATCAACAATTCACTGTTATGAAGTCCACTCTTTAAATTCTATGCTGGGAATGGACAATCAAGCCAGATTTCTGTGCGGTTGTATCTATATCTGTAAGGCAAAAATGTGACCAAGACAATTTGCCGGATAATTTGAATGGGGGAAAAAAGGAACTCCTTTTCAGGAAATATCCATGAATATTTACATGAGTCTATTCTATGCATGATTTACTCAGATTACTGTCAATTCTCGATTTGTGTATACAGTTTCTGCTTTAGTTAAATTATAATTTTTAAAATGTCAAGTAGAATCTATTCTATAGAAATAAAAATACCAGTACATAAGGATCTACATAAAAGGACATCCAGCAGGCATTATCTGTAGTGGCGAAACCTCGGAACCGTCCTGAACGCCCACCAGTGGAGGAATGACTGGATCAATTGTGGTAACAGCCACACTAAGAAATATTTTGCTGCTATTAAAAACTGTGTCCGCTCTTTACCTACTGATCTAAAAAGTGATAGAAAAGTGCTGACGGTGTGTTTAGCAAGAACAAATACATAAAATACACGCCCATTTTTGCTTTTAAAAAGACTCCAAATCCTACATTTGCAGAAATGCTTTATATGACTGTCAAAGATAAAGAAAGTTCTGGTGGGGTTGACCTCAGCTTGTTAACGATCACTCTCTTGAAGGGGGAGGGATAGGAGGAAAAGAAATGGAGCAAAGAGGAAAAGATTCACAGAATAACACGAAAGAAAAATGCAGGACGTTAAGTTCTGTTTATTTAAAACGTTACTGGAAATACACAGAAACTTAAATAGCCATTTATGGACAAGCTCTGAAAGACCAGATGGACAAATTTATTTAGAAGATGGAACTGCAGGCAATTCTTTGCCTTGCATTTCTATTGTTCTTTTAATATAGATTTTGCGTCAGTTAACTTTATTTTTAAATGTAAATTTATTCACACTCTTCTGAATCTTAAACTGGGCCCTCCAGTCCAATTAAGTTAATGTTTCCATTAACTACGTTATTCTCCATGAACCAGGACAATTAGGGGGCATCCAGAAGAGGCAAACATCTCAGGGACCCACTATAATGGGCAGACTGCAGCACACTTGAATCTCGGGGACCCGCCGGGGTGGGGGCACTGCAGGACACTGGAATCTCAGGACCCACCAGGGTGGGGGGACTGCGGCACACTGGAATCTCGGGGACCCCACTGGGTTGGGGGGACTGCAGCACACTTGAATAGAGTGACTTGGACTTTCAACCAATGTGGCCATACTTTTTTTAGGCTGTCAGGGAGAGAAAAACTTTCTCCTGATTTCAGGCTCAATACAATGAATATTATATATATTATATCCACACATACCTACATGTATACATATGTGTATATACGTGTCTATGTGTATATACATCAGAAATACAGTACACATTATATAAACATGCAGAATTTCCATTTCAAAGGGCTCTTGAACCTGCAAAGCACTATTATATTTATTGGCTTGTCTAATTCTCTTAACGATATGGTGGGATGGGTAAGGCAAGTGTGATGATCCCTGTTTAACTGACGAGGAGACAGATGAGGAGAAGTTAGGTACCCGCCAGCATCACACAGTGAGGAAGCAGCAGAGTCATGACTCGAACCCACGTGTCCTGATGTTGTTCCAGTGCTCTGCTCAAAGCACTGGGTGGCCTCTCAGTGTGCAAATCACCGAACTTTACAAACAGGTATTTTAGACCGGATTTGATTCTCATTTTTATACTGCCCTATCTAATTAATGAGGAAAATTTTATGAAAGCAGCAGAGATTTCTAACAGTCTTTCTACTTTTTTAGTTTTTTTGCTCTTAGTTGGTAATCGTAGGGAGGGAAACTGTGTTTCGCTCGTGTCATTGCCACGCAGATTACTGTATTTCACAGCTAACTGATCACATTCTTGAGCTCATGAATTATAAGTATTTCCATAAGTGATACGTTTGACATACTAGACTTACGCAATGACGTGAAATGGAATGACAAAGAGCCTCTTTTGAAAAAGCTACTCTGAAAATAACAGCTTAAGCATTGTAGCTTCTAACACATCATCATCAAATTATATCTAAACAATTCAAAAGGGAAAGTATATTGGTGAATATCCAAGAGAGTTGTATTCGAAAAAATATAATGCCCAATGAAACTAATTTCTAATTATAATTTCGGAAATTAGAAGATGCAAAGGAACTCACTCATCGCACAAATTGGCCTTTTTCTTGGTACCGTAATAACCAGTATCTCTAACACAGGCCATACTATTACGTCAAACATTCAAAGTCATTAAAAAGCTAAAGACAGACAAACAACTCTACCTAAAAATGCCATCACTCATGACATTCCAAAGAAGGTGGTTCGATATTAATAAATGTTAGCAGATACAATTCAAAGAGCTGGACTTAGAAAAAGCAAAGTCTGCATGATGGCCAATAAAGATTTTAACAGAGGTAATGGGCAAAATAATGTGCAATCATGAAAATATATTCCATAAGAGAGGGTTACCTCGCTCTCAAGGATGGGAAAAAATGGAATACCTTAATTTTTCTTGGGCTTTCCGTTGTTTTTCCATATGTCTAAGAGTTTCCAATCTGGATTCAGGGGTAAACAGAGAGGGCTTATTCCAGAATTCCAGGTCATCCTCCTCGTCCTCTACTTTCTTTCTGTTGCATTCCCCTTCCTGTATTTCTGGTGCCTGGAGGTCTTTGCTCTCGACAGAAGATGGGCTAGGAAAGAACACAGAGCAGAGGAGACCAACAATGGATCTCTGAGTTTCAGCCTGAATGCTGCCCTTAAATATCCTGTACATTTGTCTTACGTTATCTTCTTACTTTAGAATGACAAGATGTGTCTGAAGGAGAGCCTGTCCGAGGTGGACACACTGCCACACTGGTGGAAATTACTGCCACAGCACTGGAGCAGGCTCTCAATCTGTCAACATAATCAGGTTCCAGGGTTCACAGACCTGGCCGATGTGAGTCCAGTGGGGAGCTTTATCAAAAGTACAGATTCCCGGGCGCCCATCAGAGAATTCACTCAGTAGATTTGGGGTGGGGCCCAGGAATCTGTGTTTTACAATATTTTGTAGGAGGTTCTGATGATCAGACAAGTACGGAGGCCACTGAGTCCTAGCAATCACCCCACCTCCAATCTTGCACCCTTCAATTCCACCCTCCACACTGCTCCCAGAGGGTTCTTTCTAACAGGTAAACTTGATGATATTATTTCAAGGTTCTTTAATGATTCTCCATCTCCAAAATTCCCTAGTGGGACATATGAGATCTTCCATGGTATGTCCCTTGCCTACTTCATTTCTTATGAATAATTTTTGATTTGGTGGCTTTATATGGTAACAGTGCTATGCTCCCCTTTTCATTCATGTTTTGCGGACTGTCAGCGAGTGAAATGATGTCTCTATACAACATCAAATGGGTATTAAATGAGATACCCAATGTTCGTTCAACTTGGATTCAAGAAATATTTACGAGCATCTTCTGTGTACCAGGCACCAGATTCAGTGCTAGCCAAGATGGACAATGATGCTGCCTTCAGGAGGTTCTAGTCTAGCAGAGAGAAAATGCCACTATTCAACAAGTAAATATGAGGTATGGCCTCTCTCCCTAGAACATACACTCTGTTACAAAATGACATTAAATGAAAAAATCTACATGAAGCCTCAGTACCAAGTACGGCAAATAATAAGTACTCATTAAATGTTAGATTTCTTTGCTGTTGTTACTGAGACGACAGGACACAAAAGGCTCATTTAATTGACCTTCAAATAAAATGCTTTTTGGAAGGATGGACCAAAAATACTAGAACACGGGGGCTGGCCTGGTGGTGCAGCGGTTAAGTGCGCACGTTCCACTTCTCGGCGGCCCGGGGTTCACCAGTTCGGATCCCAGGTGTGGACATGGCACTGCTTGACACGCCATGCTGTGGTAGGCGTCCCACGTATAAAGTAGAGGCAGATGGGCATGGATGTTAGCTCAGGGCCAGTCTTCCTCAGCAAAAAGAGGAGGATTGGTGGCAGATGTTAGCTCAGGGCTAATCTTCCTCAAAAACAATAAATAAATAAATAGTACAAAGAGAATATAGAATAACATTCTATTTATAGATTACTTACATATTATAAACTGCAACTAGATAGTTGAATAAGCAAAATATGGCAAATTACTGAAAATAAATGCTTTGCCATATGGCTATAGTTCTTTATGGTATTGAAAAAGCAATCTATTAATGGGATCTATAATAGCCTACAATATTCTAGCTAATCATCACTGAAATAATTGGTTTCACTCTCATTTAGAAGAATTTGTTTTTGCTGGAAAGTGACTAATTGGTTCACTTTTATCTTTTGCAACCTAAAAAAAAAATAGAAAACCATAAAAATAAATTGTACTTAAGTAAAACTATAGAAATATCAGCTAAATAACGTAAGTCTCCAAATGCATATAAACGTATGCAGCTGGTTGATGAAACAGACTGAGCTCATTAGGATACCAACAAAAAAATTTGCTCTTCAACCACTTCCTTTCGATCTGCTCTCGGAACCCTCTTCCCACTCATGAGCCGATCGCACAGCCCTGCAGTCACTTTCAAGAACAGTCTCCTCTCAGCTCACACTCACTTTTAGATATGAAAAGGTCTACATGGAGTTTAAATAAAACTTTAGACTTACATCCAAATCGAAGCCTTTCCCTTCCCTCTGCAGCCCTTCTCCCCTCACCCAGCCCAGATGGCACTGCGCATGGGGAGGGGGACACCGGCTGCTCCCACTCCTCACGGCTCACCTACTCTTTCTCTCTGTGCCCCATCCCACTGGGCTTCTTCAGGTTCCCCCTGACTTCAGAAATTTGGGCCTGAGAGAATAGATGGGGAGAAGGAGGCAAACATCTTTTATGAAACTGATGCTGTTACAACTTGGCTGTTGGTCCCCTCTCTTGAGAAGACATTTGTGACTTCTTGGAGATACTACAAGAGCCTACCAAGTGCATTGTTCTCTGTCCCTGAGTGATCACTATACTACCTGGCTGGCCATTTGTGACAGCTGCTCAGCTTCTGCCATTGACAATCCACCCCACAGCCTCATTGCCACCACTCTCTTGGACAGCATCCCTTCCAGACAGCTCAAGCACAAATCCTTTTACCATATGTACTTGGTCTATGGGAGATTCACAAATTCTTGCCATGCCAAAAGCTTACAGTGTAAGCTGCTTCCATTAATGTTCTGTTTCCTGACCCTTCTGCTCCCAGATACTCCAGGCCACATCTCACCTTTTCAATTGTCCATGCTGGAAGCAGGCTCCATCCAGTCAAGAGATGAGATGCTCATCTCCCCTTCCTGTAGCCCCCAAATCTCTATGGAGTTTAGCCTTGCAGCCCTGAAAGGGAAATAGCCTCCTATACCTGCCCAACTATACCAATGCTTCACATTCCAATGACTCTCCTCCAGAACTTCTAGGTTTCTGTTCACCTAGGCTAAATGGAGCGACAGGGGTGATGGCTGCAGGACCAGCCAGTCCTGTGGAGGAAGCAAGAAGGCACCTGCAAGAAACCCACCTGTATGCTTCCACTAAAATGCAAAGAACAGGTCATTTTAAACTTTCGTAAACTTTTATAAACCAAGAATAGAAAAAGATCCCCAACACATTTTATAACTTTGATGAAAAACAGCAGGAAAAAATACAATGAAAAAAGGATATTAAAGCATAAACTCATTCATGAACATACATCTACATTTTGTAAATAAAATACTAGCAAAACGAATGCAACAATGCATTAAAAATATACCATGGACAAAGTGAGTTTATTCTAAAAATTTAAGGATAGTTTAATATTGGAAAATCTATTAACGTGATTCAACACGTTGACAGAAAAACATGACTCTCTCAATAGATGCAGAAAAAATATTTAATAAAAATCCTGTATCTGTCATGGTAAAAGCTCTTCACCAACTTGGAATACAAGGAAACTTACTCAACTTTACCAAGCGCCACAGCAACTATTATACATCATTATAATCATTATAATTATACATCATTAAGTATATCATATACTTAACGATGAAGCACTGGAAACATTCTTCTTAAAGTCAGGGACAAGATACACATACCCGTTCTTACTGATGCTATTCCAGCCCATACTGGGGGCCTTAGCAGACACCATAAAGAAAATATGAAGCAGAGGCAGAAGGATTAGAAAAACTTTTTGAAGGTGCTGATTATAAAAAATGTGTTTTTCTACACAGAAAACACAGGATAATCTACAGATTAACTATGACATCTTTTTTTAAAAAAAAGGTCCACAAGATTGCTTAAAACAATATCAGTATACAGAAATCATTTGTCTCTTCATACATCAGAAAGAACCAATTACAAGTCTACTTTTAAAATCCCATTCTACAAGGTACTTAGAAATAAATCTAATGAAAGATGGTGTAAGACCTTTAGAGAGAAAATTACAGAATCTTACTGAAGGACTCAGAAGAAAGCCTAAGTAAACAGAGAGAGCTATTCCAAAGTTCAGCAAGGAAAGAATCAATGTCATGATGATGTCAACTTTCCCCTAATTAACATATAAATTAAATGCAATTCCAATCAAAGTTACCCTTTTGGGGAATTTGAAAAATAGATTCTAAAATTCTTACAGAAGAGTAAAAAAACAAGAATAGGCAAGACAAGTTTTAAAAATGAGAATATCTTCTACCAAATATCAAGATTTACCATAAATCTATAGAAATTACAACCACGTGGAGATGCTCCCATGGAGCAGTCTAGAGAGCCGGGACATGGACCCGTGAGTAGAGGGAATTTGATAAGGTGGACTCACAGATCAGTACGGGACAGAGATGGCTAGCTACCCACACAGGAAATGATTAACACCCTACCCCACGCTGCAGTCAAAGGTTAACTCCAGAGAGACAGACATGACACTGGGGTAATGAAAAATTTCATAAACAAGACCAAAAAGGACAAAAATAAGTTTAACTGCATTAATATTCCTGATTTCTATAAAACAGAAGAACTTATTAAAATTAAAGACAAGTCATAAACAGGGAGAAGATAGTTGCAAAGCACATAACCACTAAAGAATTTGCATCCAGGATATAAAAACAACTATAAATCAATGAGGAAAAAACACCTTACAACATATGTAAAATATGCAGAGGACCTGAACCGAAACCTGAATATCCAATAAACTTAGATGACGTTTAAGATATTCAAACTCACTAGCAATTCCAGAAATGCAAATTAAATATTAGGTGCTATTTAACAACCAACTTGACTGGCCAAAGTTTTGAAATAGCATATTATCTACTATTGGAGAGATTAGGAACTCTCCTATATTGTTGATTTATGAGTATGAATTAATGCACTGTAAAAAACAACTGGGCAATGCATATGAAGTTCAAAAGATATTCATAATTGATGATGTGGCAATGTTACTGCTGGACACCCTAGAGAAACTTTCTTACCTGTATAAGGAGACATGTGCAACATTGCCTGAAAAAACAAAAGAGGGAAAATAAGCTAAATGGCCACCCAAAGAGGGATGGCTGCCCCGGAGCTGGCACCCACTAGCAGGGCCAGGCAGGTTGTTAGAGCCGCTGCCCATTCTGATTGGTCAGGCCAATGAAACACCAGCTGTTAAATATTCTGAATATCACCTCTGGGATAAACTGTAATTTACTCAACCAATGGAAGGTTATCCCACAGTTAGAATGAATGAACTAGGGCTACCTGTCTTCATACGCATAAATCTCAAAAACATAACGTTGAATGAAAAGTGAAGCTGTAGAAAGATATCATTCATGCTAAAAAATATATATATATACACCAAACTACTCTTGTTTAAGGAGGCATACCTATGTAGTAAATACATTAAAAATATGGACGGGATCAACATATACCAAATACATACTAACTTTAAGATGGCGGACGTCACTGTGGATGAAAGGAGGAATGAGATGGGGGAGAAATACTTACAACCTACCAATGATATTTTGTCTCTTATTTTAAAAAAGATCCAAAGCAAACATGCAAACTATTGGCATTTATTAAATCTGGGTGGTGGAACCATAGATGCCTATTTAGTTTTTTAATGGTTATATATGTCTGAAATACAATTATTATTTTCTCACGTTTAACAGATTCTGTTATCAAAATATTTAAAGTTCCACCATATGGAACCAAATCAACTGACTATCGCTGTAATTCCCTTAAAATAAGCCAGCATGAAAAGTTCATGTTTGTAAAAAGGACTAATTAGGGGCTTATTAATAACATTAAAAATATATTCATTATATAATTCACAAAATGGAACATTTTACGATGCAATCAAAATTATTCAATTTATAAAAATGTGATTTGCATTTAACTTTCCTAAAACATTCCTACTTTATAAATCTAAGTACACCTGTTAATTTATCTTTCCTGTGCATCTTTTGGAGAGACCTGTCTGAGGATAATTTTAGACGCAAATTAAAGTTGCTTGTTAGGAAGGGCATTTTTTTTTCCTACGGGAGGAAAGCCTCACAGAGTTGTTACAAACAATGGGATGCTCATAGTCTTCCCCCCAAATTCATATCCTAATTTATTCTTCAAATCAGTCGTCTGGAATTGGGGCGATACTGTGAACATTTTGGGAAGAGAACATAGTTTGCTGCTTTTAACCAAAGTCAACTAGAACGTGCACTCTAATAATTTACATACAGAGGAGCACCGATGTCTGTGTACCAGCGTCCATCGAAGCCTGGCTGACTTCTCTCCTTCTTGCCTTCGTCTGCATCCTCTTGCAGTTTCCTCTGAGCCTCTTCCTTGTCTTTGGCTCGTTTCAGGCAGTAAGCTTTCTCCTGCTCTCTGATTTGTTGCTCGATTACTGGAAAGTTCTGCAATGCCTGAATCCTTTCTGAACGCTCTATTTCTTTACCGTCCAACCACTTGAATAAAAAAGCAACCAACACAGTGCATTTATTCAAAAGTCACAGTTTGAATCAGTCCCAGGTTGACTTTGATGGGAATATTTTAAACTTAGAAATAATAATAATGCAACATAGTGCTATGGAATCAAAAGCAAAGTAATCAGTGGGAAACAGAAATTTTTATCTAAATCAGGGCTTATTTCATATAATTAATAGAGTTTACACAGCATCTTTACTGGTAATAATAATAAGTAGGTCTTCTGTCGAAACTGATTATTAATGACAAGCTTTCAAAATATATTAATTTTATAACTGCTCATTATATAAAGAATTTCAATGCCTCAAGCTATTTTCAATAGCTCCAAAGTGTAACAATGACATTTCCCAAATGCTCTCTACAAAAAAGGGCCTTGTATATCACACAAAATTGAGCTCTAATACAAAGGAGCCTATGTTCTACCCTGAACAACAAGACACACAGAGTGTACTATTAATTGTTATGGTCACTGTTTATCCCCAGTATTTTTACAGTGATTTTCCCAAATTAAGATATTACAATAAAAACACCAACCTAAAATCTGAAGTTTCAACGCTCCCAGTTTAAAGATACCAATTTATTATTTACGCAGCCTCCTTCTACAAAAAGAGGTGAGTATTCAGAACGGTGTGGTAGGCAGAAGGATGGCCCGCCAAGAATGTCTGCCTTGTAATCCCCATGAATGTTAACTTCCACAGCAAAAGGGAATTTGCTGTTGTGATTACGTTAAGGATTTTAAGATGAGATTATCCTGGATGATCTGGGCGAGCCCAATGTAATCACAAGGATCCTTCCAAGGGAAAGAAGGAGGCAGAAGTGTCAGGCCCAGTTAGGGAGAGATGGGAAGACACTACGCTGCTGGCTTTGGAGATGGAGGAAGAGGCCACGAGCTCAAAACTGCAGGCACTCTCTAGAAGATGAAAAACGCAGGGAAACAAATTCTTCTGTTGGCAGAAGGAACACAGTCTTGCCAAAAAGTCATTTTTCAAAGAGAGGCTGTTGCCTGTTGTAGCAGCTGACTTGGGGCAGTCTTTCTGAAACAGCTTTATTTTAGACTTCTGACATCCAGAACTGTAAGAGTATAAATTTGTCTTGTTTTAAGCCCCTAAGTTTGTGGTAATTCACTACCATAGCAATAGGAAAAAGAGGAAAAACACAGAAAGATTGAGTAAAATACAATTTTTTTAAATTATCAGGATCAGTTAAATTATAAATCAAATTTTAACAATAATTGGAAAAAAATAAAGTATGTTTGGTCATAAGGACTCGTGTGGCTGCTGTAGATGGGCTGGAGAACTGACTCTGAGCTTGCTGGTGGCCAAAGCAAGATAAAAAATAGGATCAGTTATAAGATTTTTGCTGTCCTTAACAAGAAAATATACTAGTTTCTAGCTTTTTCCTAATATTTAGTTCTAAAACACATTTCTAAAGTAAAGCTTCATAATGGAGATCTTGAGAAATATCACGCATTCTTTCTGTAGAAACATGTCCATATAGTAACAGGCTTCATAAAGCCGTCTCTTCTAGCATCCTTCAAAGATGAGGCCATAATGATAAAACACAATGCATAAAGCCTATTCTTTAAGGTGAAAAACAGTTGTGGTCCAAGTACTTAGCCTTTTAAAAAAAAATAGCTAGTTTAAGCTAGGGTTAAGATCTAAACAATTTGGACAATTCTGAATAAATAGAATTTCTTTCACTGGAATTTTTGAGGAACATTGGGAAACGATCTATATCTATCTATATCTGAGATGCAAGGATATAAGTATTTACTTTATATATATATATATAACATATTACTATATACAAGTACATATACATATATTTCCTTATACCTGGGTTAAGCAAATATTGATTTAATTTAGACCTATTGTTTCTAAAAAGATTATGACGAATGAACCTCCTGTCACTATACAGACAGGAAGGAAGCAGAAGACTTCACACTGAGAACTGATGACAAATTTGGGACAGCGCCACGTGCGTGCCAGCATCTGTTCTAAGGGCATCCTTATTGCATCTCAATTTATTTGACAAATTTCCTTAGGTCGTCTTCAAAATTGGCCCGTCTCCTTCAATCCAAAATCGCACCTGAGTTTAGAAGGCCTAATGAACTGAGAGATTAAGTTTTAAGTTGTGCATTATAGTATTTCCTGATCTTTCTTCATTCAGGATGCTTGCAACACAGAGGCAGTGTGTCCACGCTTATTGATAATAGTTGCACACGTGCTGTAGCAAAGAAGAGAAAGAGAAACTGAGAATTATGGAAGGTCTCACAGAGCTCCTTTAGAGCAGGAATTATTAATCCACTATAGATGAGAAAAATGAGGCCTGCAACTCACAGGTGGTGGAGACATGAGCCAGACCTTATCTGTGCTACCAAAACTTTTCTCCACCACACCGCACTGCCTACTTCCCACCTGGAGCGGCTCAGACATGAGGAACAGGATTCTCGGAAAGGGCTGAATCTCCCCACACCTCTTCTGATGTGTCTGTCCCAAATAACTACTCTGTGTTAGGAGTTAAATTGTGTTTCCCCTCGAAAAAGTTATGTTGAAGTCCTAACCCGCAGGACTTCAGAAGGTGACCCGATTTGGAAACAGGGTCACTGCAGATGTAATTGGTTAAGATGAGGTTACACAGCGGCAGGGTGGGCTCTAACCCAGTATGACTGATGTCCTTACAGAAAGAATGCAGTGTGAAGAGACAGAACACAAGGAGAAGGCCACGTGAGGACGAAGGCAGAGATGGGAGCGATCCTTCCACAAGCCAAGGCACTCAAAGATGGCCAGCAGCCACCAGAAGCTGGGCAAGACTTTTGGCCTCCAGAACTACGAAATAACACATCCTGCTGTTTAAGCCACCCAATTGGTGGCTCGTTGTTAGAGCGGCCCCAGGAAAATAATCCACCTGTTAACAAAATTCCTTTCGAGTAGATCACAAGCTTTCAGTGAAATGGTAATGAAGGGTCTAAAGTTTATCAACCTATTTTTAAATACTAGTAAATACACTTATGAATAGTATTTTTCAAAGAGAGGCTGTTGCCTGTTGTAGCAGCTGACTTGGGGCAGTCTTTCTGAAAGAATAGACTTGAGCTGAACCCTGTACATTAACCCAGAGAAAAGCAGTGAGTGTGGATATAGTGGGATTGGTGGGCTTTTAGGTTCAAATCCCGCCTGTGACACTTGCCACGTGTGTCAGCTTAAACAAGGAACATTGACTCTCCAAGCCTCAGCTCCCTTGTCTCTGAATGCACCTCATCATCTCCTCACAAGGGTCCAGAAGGATGAGAGATGTTGTGCCCAAAACACTTGGAACAACCTGGCCCATGTTTCAGGCCCCTATCTGATGGCTCCCACAAACTTCTAGCCCGAACACTGCAGCACTGGTATTCCAGGAAAATGGCTCACACTGTTACACGACGGGATCCATTTCTATGATGTTCTGGTTCTCATCAGTTCATTCTTTAGGAAGTCATTGTACAATGATGATTAGCCTGAATTATGTTTGAGCTAATTTATCATTTATTCTAAATATATATTCTAGATTCAATTATCTGAGTCATTCATTCTCTTAATCAAAGAAATTTTACATTAGAAGAAATGTGTTCCATTATTCCAGCAATCTCAACTACACAGAACTCAGCAGTCTAAGAACAAATGTCCTCTGAGAATTGAAGAAAATGCCTATCAGAAAGCCAACGCAACCATGCGTTCTTTTTGCAGAAGTACACGGCCACCTGCTGTTGGATGAGGTCACGGAGAGAATGTGACCGCCACTTGACCCTTGAGCTGGCCCTGGGCAATCAGAGGCTCCCCACCCCTCCCCTGTCCTTGGAATGGATGCCCTCCCCACCGGTCCCACAGTGGGAGCCATCTTCAAGGATGCAGCCTTGAGAAAGTAAGGTGTTGTTGAGACCATCTGGACCATGGATGTGACTGAACCCTGTGAAGGCCTCTATATAAACTTCTAAGATACTGGCGGGTGGGTGTTAAGACCTACTCATCTCGCAGCCACCCAAGACAAGCCTTGTATACAAGTTCCCTTGCTTACATCCCCACAAACTGGAGGAGCCTGCCTCTTTCATTGGTCTCTGCTAGCCCTCCGCGTGTGGGGGCCAGTTTCAGATTCCACCTGGGAAGCTCCCAAGGTTGCAAACCAACACACGCAAATCAGAAACTCTTGGAATCACATGAAAATTGTTATATGGTCAGGTATATGATTTCTCCAGAAACCGTGTGTTTTTCCTAGTCCCCAAAATCCCAGATTAAGGGAGATATAGCATAAGAGATTAACACATAGAATAGAGGTTCTCAAACGAGGCCCCTGGACCAGCAGCAACAGTGTGTTAGAACAAAACCTTGGGTGTCATATCAGACCTACTGAATCTGAAATTCTAGGGGTGGGGCCCAGCACACACCTTCCAAGCATCCCAATGCATACCAAAGTTGATAAGCACTAACAGAGAGAATGAGTTAACAGAAAACAACCATACAAATGTTATAATTAAAAAGCACAGTAGTTCAAGACTATGAAATACAAAGGTATACAGCTGTAGCCATCTCAAAAACCCCAGCTTTCGGTTTGCTCTTAGTAATGATTAAGGATCTTCATAACAATCATTGGAATTTATCAAGAAGCGGTTCAATTAAGCTCTGTGTGTTCTGAATGAGGAAGGAGGAAAGTACGCATTTTATTTTTCAAAGATTTATTAACGCTATTAAAAGAATTTTAAAGGTTCAGGAAGTCAAAGAATTCATTTTGAATGTGTGGAATATTCCATTCTCTAAAAGAATGCATTCCCTGACAATGCTGTGAATAAATCAGGAATTGTTGTAGTTGCTTGTTTTCATTTTTCTGAGATTTCTCCATCATTAAAATAAGTGTACCTTTAATTGTTGCAGAGTTGCCACCACAAACTGCCTGTAGCCATCAAAGTCGGCACATGGGTTGCCCATGAGAAAGAGCTCCTTCAGGTGGATGTTGTGTCGAAGGGTTTTAATGCTGCTCAGCTCTCCAATGAAATTTATGGTCAAATCAAGTTTTGTCAGCCCTTCACATCCTATAGAGAGAAATGAAAAAAAAAATAAAGCCCCCACCCAAATCACACTGGTAATAAAATGTATGTAATAGCACGTAATAGAAGCAACAGCTGCGATATTTTAAATCTGCTGATTAACTGTATCGCTTATCAAGAAGTGGTTTTTCAGAAATATCCAAAAGACTTAGTCTTAATTCACTTTTCTATCTGTGGCTCCCTTACTTTGGACCCCTTAGTCCCCCCAGACAGGGGAAGTCACTTTCCCCACCCACATCTGCGAGCCCTGGGCTGACTAACATTTGGACTTGGTTGCTATCTGGCATGAAGAAAGCCAAGGATAAGCTGCTGCTGCGGTGGACACGACATCAGAGCCAAGCTCCTCTAGCGTGGGCACCTGGAATCTGCTCTCCTGAGAATTCCACCAGGTGGTCAGGAATCATCTCCCTGTGAAGGGTGATGGCGGGAAGTTTCCCCAAAAGGAAAGGCATTTCATAAAACCAACGCATCCAAATTAACAGGTGCAAAGTCACCCTGAAGAGACAGAATGGCTCCAAGACCACCAAGAACTGAACTAAAGGGATCAACAAAGGTGAAAATATAAGAGTTTGGTCCTCAGAGGAATGAAAGAGAAACGATGAGTCACTGACACAGAGTTTGCCGTGAATCTGACCCATAGAGGAGATGCTAGAGAAATCTGAATCAAATTCAAATCTGAATTAACTCCCTCCCTCACATTCCATGGGAACTCGGTTAGGAGAGCAGACTTTGGGATTAGACAGACATGATGAGTTCAAGTCCCATCTGTCACATCCCTGCTGTGTGACCTTGGAAAAGTTACAAGGCTTAGCCTTCTCATCTGTAGGATTCTAACAGTACTACCCAGTTCAGGGGCTGTTGGGAAGATAATATAAGATGATCCATATAAAGTACTCAGCACAGTGCCTGCCACCTAGAGAGCGTCAGTAAACATTAGCTAGGACCAGAAATAGCCCAATGAGCACTCTTCTGACTATCACGTGGGTTCTTAGACAATGTGCCCACACAGAAAAAAAGGATGCTCACCATCCTATGAGCAGAGACTTTGCAGATTCTTACTATGAACTAAAGAAGAGTTGACCCGGTTTATACAGCAACCTCTGTGCAGTAGGTTCATATAAGGGTGTCTCCCTCTGTAAATGGCTCACGCTTTTTGGATTAATATGGAAGATTTTGCATCCTTCAATATCTAGAGAACCATCTTTGGCTGACAACCTAACTCTACTTTGTTCTGCACTCATTTCTTCAAACTCATACACATTCCACCCTTCCCACAGGCTTCCCGAGTATACGCTGCTTTTCTGTCATTGTTGTGTGGCTATATAACTCAGGATAAACTTTGGTTCCTGATATCTTATACTAACCTCACCGAAAGGAAAGATTCAGATTGGTTCATAGCTCTGCAACCATGTCACCCACGGCAAGGTTTTTCTCATTTCTTCACTTCCGAAGGCTATATGATGGAACCAATTTCATTAAATGGTAGTGTTCTCTCCCGTTGACCCTTTCTTGATTCTAGCACCTGACTCCACCTTGCCTAGAACTCCATGTTTCCTTCCTATCCAGTCACATCCCGAGCCAGTCTCTTCCAAATAAGTTAACTCCACCTCAGTGCTTCCAGATGTAGGTCCTCACCCTATATCCATCCATCCACCCATCCAGGAGTTACTGGGTACCTGCTATGTACAAGTTACTGAGCCAGGTCTTTAGAATAAAGCGGTAAAAAAAACATGAGATTTCACCTCATGCTTATGTCTAATGGGGAGGAAGGAGAAAAACAGAGGCATTCCAGATAAAGAAAACTTAATGTGCAAAGGCACCAAGAAGTGAATCTGAGGAAGTCAGCAGAACCCAGAAGTAGGCAAAGCCCATTGAGACAGAATCTGGAGAAGTCAGCAGAACCCAGAAGTAGGCAAAGCCCATTGAGACAGAATCTGGAGAAGTCAGCAGAACCCAGAAGTAGGCAATGCCCATTGTAATCCACCCTAAATCCACATTCACTGGTTCTTCTTTCTCAATCTTCATTCACTGCTCAACCCCCTGTTCCTGGCTTCCACTCCCAACATTCTACTAGATTTGCTCCTCTAAAGGTGACCATGCTGACACCGTCATGTTGACAAATCTAATACATCCTTTTCAGCCCCTTAAACCACTAGAACAATCTGTAGCATATGGCATGACTGACCATGGATTCTCTCTTAAATCTCTCAAACGTCTTGGAAACAGTGATTCTCTCCTCGTTCTCCATTATAATATAGTCTATTCCTCTTCATCTCTTTTACGGCCTTTTCCACTCCATCAATGGTAATACAACCCAGGTTCCCACCCCTGTCCCAGTATTCCTCATGGTCTTCCTGATGACAACTGTCATGTTCATTGGTTTAACCAACCCCAGACTCTCATGACTCCCAAACAATAACACCATATCTGACCGACCAACTGAACATCACACTCCTGTTTCCAAACGCTGCGAGACTTAGCACATTCAACATGGCCAAAGCTGAATCCGCCATATTTTCTCTCGCTCTCTACTCCTCGAGACAGCTTTTCTGCCTTCTTTATGCCTAAACTCTATTAACATCATCACCATGTTAGCATCAGATGTGAGTCTGACACCAAGCACCAAGTCAAGGTTAACTTAAAAATTAACCTAAATTATTCTCTTAAACCCTCTGCGTCATCAGTGGCCAAACCCTGCAGATCACAACTCCTAGATTCTTCTCACATACGCCTTGTTCACTCTATGCCTATTACCATCATTCCACTTCAGTTCTTATCACCTCTTGCGTGCAATATGGCAATAATCTCCCATTCATCTTCCTATTTTGAGAACATAGGAAGTAAGGAAGAAAGGAAAGAAGGATGGATAAAAGGAAGGGAGGGAGGAAGGAAAGATTTTTAAAAATGGCTCTGCCTCTTCCCTTTATTTACTTTTCCTTCCATTCCCTGTCCTTCCTTTCAATTCCTTTTCCTTCCCTTTCCTTCTTTTTGCTTACTTTTGGAACAACTAATTCCTAAAGCCATTATGAGAGGAGAGCAAAGAAAGAGTGGAGAGGGAAGGGGTAGCTATGTTGGACCAGGATACAGTGTTGGAACCCAAATAGGACGAGAAAAGCATGCGGAGAACTGCACGGTGCCGGAAGTCAGACCCCGAGCAGTGAGGGGGCATCCTCGGGTAAGGGTGTCTGGCACGGGTGGAGGAACCCAAGCCTAGGGAGGAAGGCAGCCCTGCAGAGAAGGATGGCATGTAGGAACCTGGGCAGAGTGGGAGGAGCTTTTGCATCACAGACAGCCAACCGTGGGGTGTCAGAATCTGAGAGTCGCCAGGATGACAGCAATATGGAAAGGCAGCCTGACTTGAGGAGTCAGAGCCCAAGTAGGGTAGGGAGGGCACCCTCACATGACACCTGGCAAGAGATATCAGAGACCACGAGAGTGAAGAGGGAACCCATGTGGGAGGAGAACCAAAAACAAGGTGCCAGAGCTTGGGCAGGGCGAGGAGGACATCCACCCAGGAGGGCTGCTTTGCAGGGGAATTTGGAGCACAGACAAGGTGAGGAAGGCATCCATGCTGGGGGGGACACGGGTGTAGGATATCAGAGGTTGAGCAGGGTAAGGAGCACATGCCATGGAGGGGCCACGCAGAGCGGGGATGTCAGAGCTCAGACGGGTTGAGAAGGAAGTGAAGAGGCCAGCTGAGAAGTGGATCCTCTGACAACAGCTGCCCCAGCTGATGCCACGGGTCCGAGAGGAACCTCCCAGCCAAACTCTTCCTGAATTCCTGACCCACAGAACCATGTGGGGGAAAGAAAATGGTTGAAAGACATTAAGCTTTGGGGTAGTTTTCTCGCGGTAACAGATAACTGGCACTGTAAAGCAAAATGAGCTAAGAAATGAACAAAGTTCACACAGCTGCTTCACGGGGAATTGGGAATCGAAACCAGTGCTGCCCCGCTGAAAGGCCTCTCTGAACTGGTACACTAGAAGTTCTCTGCCAATATTAGCTATTGATTACCAATATATCATCACCATCATCGTCACCTTAAAATTCTCAAGTTAAAGCTTTGTGGAATACGACTGCGGTGCTGTAAGTACAAGCAGATGCAGTCACACCCACCTGACAGGTGGGCCCAGTGCAGGGCGTGCCTGTAATTCACAGCACAGCACGGCTGGAGAGAGCCAGACCAGCCTGGAGGAAGGTGGGAGGAGGGAAGTTAGAAAGGCAGGGGTTAGCAGCCGCCCGGTGGCTGAGTGGTTAAGTTTGCATGCTCTGCTTCAGCAGCCCAGGGTTTTGCCGGTTCGGATCCCAGGCATGGACATGGCACCACTCATCAGGCCACGCTGAGGGGGCATCCCACATAGCACAACTAGAAGGACCCAAAACTAAAATATACAACTGTGTACTGGGGGGATTTGGGGAGAAGAAGGAGAAGAAAAAGAAGATTGGCTTGTTGCCAATCTTTAAAAAAAAAAAAAAAAGAAAAACCAGAGGTTAGATGTGAGTCAGCAATGGAGTGAGTGTCATCTCTCCTCCCAACAAAGTGTTAATTCAAAACACCAGTCACCACAAATGGGTCCATATCCTATACCTCATGATGACATCTCATTATGGGGTATACAAATATAAGCAGGGTGGGTAGAAGGGAAGAGAGAACCCAGGGGGCAGCATGAGAGAACAAAATCTGCATCTTTGGGGTGGGCCTGGTGGTATAGTGGTGAAGTTCACACACTCCACTTTGGCAGCCCAGGGTTTGCAGGTTCAGATCCCAGGTGTAGACCTACACACTGCTCATCCAGCCATGCTGTGGCAGCATCCCACATACAAAATAGAGGAAGATGGGCACAGATGTTAGCTCAGAGCCAATCTTCCTCACCAAAAGAAAAAATAAAAATAAAAAATCTGCATCTTCCACATCAGGAAGTCAATAGACAATGCCTAAAATGTCAATATCAAGAATATTAAGAAACAGCGATAAAGCATGGTA